GTCACGTCTTGGGAAACAGGTGCAAAGTATTAATAATAAAAAATGAAAGTTGCTGCAACCGGGGAAGTCTGTGGCTCTTTTTTCCTACATAATAAATGACTTGCACCAGACGAAACTCGATAACACTGTCACGTTATCATTCGGATGCCTGATGTTTGGGAACGCAGTCCTGTGAGACGATGCTCAGGCATTTCAAACTGATTCAGATAACACTAGAGATGGTGTGCGATGAGATTGGTGCTCTGGTTAGTCCAATTATCCAATCACCTGTTCTGCTGAGGCAAAGTCACACGAGTTTTCTGATGAACATTGAGGAATTTATTCGGTAAATGTGTTTCTATCAGTTTATTTGCATGTCTTCTTAACAGATAAAAAAAGCACATTTTTATAATTGATGCACATCTTGGCGTTTCCATCCAGTGTTTTTTAATGCGATATCCCAAAATGTGCATTAAAATAGATGGATGGAAACACAGCTAGTGTTTATTTTGTTCAAACAACGTGGATAAACTACGTCAGCTGTGTGGACGTTAACGTTGGGTTAATAATGTTGATTTCTGGATTTTAATCAATCTTCATTTTGATGAATCAAGATCTTCTAGTCTAGGCTGTTTTCAGTTAACGCGTGAACAAAATAACTAAACATTTTTGCAGTGTGACTCCCATCCAATAATCGCAATAAGCTTTGCGCTGTTACTTGTGATATGAAACAAAGTCTCAGCTTTCAAATTCTGTTATAACAAAATTCAAACAATAGCTAAATGTGTCGTGACAGACTGCTGTAGCCTCAGTTCAAGCGGCACGTGAACCGATCATTTCTTCATCTTTACTACTAGTTATAGCACAAAATAATCATGAATGAACATCAGAAGAAACAGAACAACTTCCTGAAATAAATCACGTCTCATGTAATCGATCAGTCAGTGCTTCAGTAAATCAGCTTGTGATCAATAATGTCACACAACATCTCATTTATCTCAGGAAAGACATGCAATGTCCATAAACTCGTTAGAAACTCAGCTAGAAAAATAACTCCAAAGAGCATTTTGCAATATATTACATATCCATTATCTTTATAATTAACCTGATGGTGATGTCTCATTTAATGCATCTTTGAAAAAATCACAGCCACTGTTTAAATATTTATATTTCAACAATGAACTGAAGTAAAAACAACTATATATATAATTAAAATCTGATATAAAAACTGCAATTTAAATGCTTATATTCAAGTCTGTTTTTATTTCAGTGTTGATTATTAAATAAACGTTATTTTCAGTTTCCGTTTTCAGCTAAATTAAAAGTTGTTTTGTTTTTTTTGGGCATGACTAACATCCAATATATTTCAGTAAGATATAGAAATTATACTAATATTTTTAGCTAAAGCAGGATGCGTGTTTAGGAGCAGGACTGATTTTACCATATTAAACAGGCCCAGTGTATTCACAGTACGAGCACTTTATCTGTGTCACACTGTATCCATCACATTCCACTGATGCACCTGCATGGGTGGCTCATGTTCAGTCACGTGACACAGTGAAGTGAACCTGGCCTGGCCCTGCCTGCTTCCAGTATCCCATCATTCACCGTGAGATGAGGGCATAGACCGGGTGCAGGATGAAGATATCCTTTTCATGCAGGTGATTGTCCGATAACAGAGCAGTCCACAGGAACTGTGTTATCACAGCCTAAACAAGCAACACCTCCTGAGGAAATATTATGTCTACAAACATGTTACAATGGAATGGCAGTATACTGGAGCGGAGAAAGAGAAGGATGAAAAATGAGGTTAAACGTGTCTGAATCTTCACAGACCCCAGCATAGACAACATTTCACAGTCACCTCCTTCTCTGGAAATGCATTCCTCTTCGGAGCAGAAATGCATTTTTATTATTCTCTCATCATTTTTTGGTAAACAGAAGATCAAACATGCGTGCTTGACGTTCCAGAACCAGTGAGCTTTGTTCTTCTGCATCAAGCGAGCATGTCTGAGCTTCCATTTACCATATTTAATGTGCTCTACATGTGTGCATTAATCGATGTTGATATGTGAATAAAAGCTTAAATTAAATCTGTTCATCATACAAAGCAATCGTTATGATCGTTATTGTTTTCAGTAATCAAGAAGAACGTTCAATCTGTGCCACCAGCTTTACCAAATGGAACTGCAAAAACAATGATCGTTAAAGTTTCCTGAACATCAGCCTGTCTGCCATTGGTCAAAATGAACAAAATGGAAAAAAAGATAAACACAACATAAACTAAGAAATATCTTAATTTCAGCTCTTGTTTCTAGATGACTAATCCAATGTATTAAAAGTAAATAAGAGTCACCGATCATGAGACATTTTGTAATCTTGCTTCCATTGAAGCTCAATGACCTTTAGAACATAAACAAACCCAAATACTGGAACTTTGTTAAATTCATAATTTTTCAAACTGTTATGCTGATTGTGTATGTTATTAAATAAAGGATATATTTTGGAGAAATGTAGCATTCCATCACTTGCTCACCAAGTGATGGATTTGTTTCTTACAAACACGCAGCTTTTGTCTTCTCCAGATGTTAACTGATGGACTGGAGTGCTGTGGATTACTTGTGGATTATTGTGATGTTTTTATCAGCTGTTTGGACTCTCATTCTGACGGCACCCATTCACTGCAGAGCATCCATTGCTGAGACACTGATGCAATGCTACATTTCTCCAAATCTGATGAAGAAACAAACTCATCTACATCTAGGATGGCCTGAGGGTGAGCACGTTTACAGCTCATTTTCATTTTTGGGTCAACTATTCATTTAAGTGGATGAGTTAGAAATTAAATTTATTTATTTCTGTTTAAATCGGCCATATTGTTAAATCATCTCTTTGTAAAGAATGGTACAGTGAACACTGAACGAGGCGCTGCAGGGATTGTTCCTGTTAAGTGGCCCATAAAAATGCTCTAAATGTTTTGCTCAGTAAGAACAAAAAACAAACCATGCATTATTTTGCAATTCAGAAAGAATTTTCCCTCTTGGCAAGTGTTCATTTTGGACCAGGATTTAAAGTTTTGACAGAAGTAAAATTCTTGCTTTGTTACGTCACATGACACACATTTGTGTTCACCTTTGGGAGAGTGATTTGGCACACAAGTGCCAACTATAGAAGCATAAACATGTCTGTTTTATTTTATTTTTTTTATTATATATATTTTTTAATTCAATAAACGAATACGCTGATTAACTAACATAAATCAGAGCACTGATGCAGTGAATACGTCAATGATTACTCTGGAGGATAATGTGTTTGACTTCATGCAGGTAGTTAACACCCCATAACAGCTCAGAATGAGAAACATTTGGACTGTAAACGGGCATCTCTGCAGTTCTGCTCTGGCAGCAGATTTTGTTCTGTTTTCACCTCCATAAACAGTCTATCATACAGTAAAGTCTGCATTCTTCTGGTTAAACACACTGCAGAAGACTGTTACAGGATGCAACACAGAGAAAATAAACTTTATATATTGTAAACCCGCCTTTACTTTTGGGTTACAATGGTCCCACAATAAAATAATGTAGCTTAATGTATGTTTAGGGATGCTCCATGTATCAGTGACCAATGACCATGTCGATTTAGCTGATCATTGCAGAGCTCATTTTTACCAATTCAAATAACATGATTTTTTTATATAGTAATGTTTTGATGCCTAATTTCACTTGTTTTGTTTGTTTGTTTTTAAAAAAGATGAAAAACAGCACAGATATATAAGATCATATCTCATGGTTGTGATCTGTCTTACCGAAGCAGTTGCAGCGATGAGGGACAAACATCTTGCAGGCTGTGGCGATGTGGATCTCAGCGCTCAGAACAGCTTTAATGATCAGATCCTCAATCTGGCCCATGAGCACTGACAAACACAGAGAAACAATCCCATCGGCTGATCATTCCAGCTTGATAAAGGTTTATTTCTATTCATTCTAAACAGCAATAGTCTTTTTAATCATGTAAAACACAACCACTTGCAAAAGCATTGAAATATAGTTGCTCCTCCCGTTATTTCCATCACCAGTTTTGCAAGTAAACTAAATGTTTTGCACTCAAATGCAAAGTTTCTCAGGGGAATGCAAAACTTTTATAAAAGCATAAAGTTCTTGTGAATGAATGCATAAGCATTGAAATGTAATTTTTCCTCCCATCTCATTTTATTTCCATCACTAGTTTTTAATTGTTTCACAACATTTTGTAAGAATGCAACTATTTTGAGAGCAAACACAATGTTTCTTGGAGGCAAGCAAAAGAAAGCGCAAAAGGTTTTGTAAGCAAAGATCAAACTTTGCAAGAGAATGCAAAGTTTCCAGGTGGAACAAAACATTTTTGAGAGAAAAAAAAAGTTTCGTAAGTGAACACAATCAATAAAATATCATTTTCTTGACATCTTATATTATTTCCATCAGTTTTGCAAGCAAATGCAAAGCTTTTTCAAGAGCATGCAGGAAACAATGTTTCTTAGGGGCATGCAAAAAAGAACGCAAAAAGATTTGTGTGTAAAGTTTATACATTGCAAGAGAATGCTTAACGCTTTGAAAGCAAACGCAAAGTTTCTCAGGGGAACACAAAACTTTTGCAAGTGAATGCATGGTTTCATTTTTCCTCCCATCTCATATCTCAACTGTGTGCAGAATTCATACAGAAGACCAAGTGTTCGAGTTGTATGAGCTTTTATGTTTTTTTGTTTTGTCTTTTTTGGGGGACACAGGTCACGGTCTATGATCAGTAAATGGAAAAGGAGTAGTGGATGACCAGTATGACTACAGTACAGTTTAATAGGAAATGCTGCTGATGTAATCTGTAATCTGCAGCTGTTGTTCATCAGGAGTAACAAGCGTGTCAATCTACAAATGACTCTGTAGTGCTTTGTGCTTGAGAATATCTGCAGATTAGTGGTTATGAATGTCAAATGTCACGGGGTGTTAAACATGCAAGTATATGATTGCATAAGCTCTACTCACATGTGGTGTCTTTGCCTTCTTGCCTCAAATATCTCAGCATTGCGCTCATGCTCCATTTGTTCCCATAATCCTCTACTTCAGGGTCATCGCAGCTGAAAGGAAGAGAAACCCTGACTGTCAGCACTGCCAAAACAATGCTGAGAAATGGGCACAACGTAACAATGTTGACATGATAAGCAAACACAAGGATTAGCTGGTATTTGAGATCACATTCCCGAGCCGTGTTGGAGTGATGAACAATGAGAAGTGATTATTGAACTATTATTTCTGACAGCTTAGATCTGTTCTCATTACCGTAACACGCATGATGCTTTATGGCATGAGCTGCCACAAGACAAACACAAGCTACTCTAATATCATCAGGCATTCATAAAGAGCTATTAAGGATTATTGCTACAGAACCTTGTGCAGATTCAGATGGAAAGATGTTTCGCACATTTCCTGTGTTAGTATTGGTGGAAATTGTGCTTAATAGGCTTAATCATGGTTAAATGAGTCTATGATTGCAATAATGATCTGCTGATTGACTCCTGTTCTTACTGACTACCTGTCCAGCAACGTTTCATGAAAGACATTTTAATTAAAAAAAATGAATAAAATGTTCACTAAAAATAAAAACTCTCTCTTCAGCAAATGCTGCATTTACCTCTTCCAAGCTGTACCAAGGATATTTTGATGATTTATGATCAATATATTACATTTTATCACATTTTGAAATCTGATATATCATCCCATCCCTATAAGATGACATCTCAAATCTATCTAGCTTTTAAACTTAAAATGCTTTTTTATTTTGAAACTTTTAAGCAAGGCTTCATCAAGTAAACACTCAAAGTCTGTGCTGACAAACTGTGCTTTTCTAGTAAAAAAATGGATTTTCTTTTTATTTTAATTAATTACATTCTGCATTCTTTTTGCTACCTCAATTCAAATATAACAGTTGAACTGGAATTTAAAAGGTATTTTCATGTTTAAGAAAATGTAATCGATGACTTATGTATTTGAATTACATATAAAATTTTCATCCACTTGGATTATACAGTTTAACATAAACGAATAAACTTAATGTGATGCATATTTGTCAGTCATTCATAAATTAAACAGGTCAGATTTCTTAAATAGTACTAATAAACTGAACGTGTTTTAAATACACAATAACCAGGTGTATATATTTATCATCAATAAATCCAATTTCAGTTATTTCAGTTCAGTCTGTTTCAGTCTCGTACATTTTAATACTGAATATTGCTTGTTCCACAGCTAGCTATATTTTAGCCATGTTCATACTTTTTAAGTGAATAAATTGATCTGATCTGATTGATCTGAACAACTGCATTTTTTTGAAAATATGATTGTTTAAATAAATTCAAATGCAAATAGTTATTAATAAACTATGCAATGAGTAAATGATGACAAATAAGCTATAAGGTAGGGCTGGGCGGCATATTGAGTTTGTACAATATATCGATATATTTTTATAAATGATTAGTGGCCGACTGATGGGATTTTTAATGGCCGATGCCGATATTGAGAAATCAGTTTGGCCGATATAATACATGTAATTACAGTAAATGAGAGACATGCAGAAAATGGGTGAAACTAAAAGAATCCAGAATATGGATTATTATTTTATGCATAAATATGTATTAAAACCTAAATTAAAAAAAATTAAACAATTGAGGTAACAATTAGTGCAGCCTTTCCTTTTCTTTTGCTGAAACATCTACAAAAAAAAAAAAGTATATATATATAATGGGATAGTTGGTTAATAATAAAGATATATGTCTCTGATCTGTTTGGTTTTGGTTGTCTGTTTCATTGTAAAAATAATACAAGCCCGAAGGCGTATAATTACATGCTTGATTATCAGCATATAGCAGCATTAAATAAGACCGGAACATATGAAAAGGTACTACACGTGATATTACGCCAATCATGGGCAATGATAAATGCACGATATGGTGTCATAATCCGTTTTGAAAAACATCAGCCACACGGAAAGACTTATCGGCCGATGCCGATACTTTAAAAATCCCAAATATTGGCCGATATATCGGCTGCGGCGATATATTGGTCCACCACTATAAATGATATGGAATGAAGCAATATCGTTTAAATCGATATACAGCAGTTTAATACGAGTGCATCTGAAAAATAGTGGAGGACAGAAAGTGCATCATCCAGTTTGTCCTAAACATGGGACATGCTTTATATTAAGGGCTTTAAAATAACTGGTAAGCTAAAAGCTATAGTTAACACGTATAGTTTAAAGAGGCTGTTAGTCTGTGCTTTTGCTATTTATTTACTTTAATTTTTAGTTTAGTGAATTTACCTTCTGCTTTAAAAAGCATTATTTTTAGTTTTTAGATTGTAATGTAGTTTACAATGTTAGAATGTAATGTGATTTTAACCCTTTTTTGCTCATAATATATAGTATAGCCTGCACGGTTACATTCACTATATTTGTTTTCATTGTCTTTAATAGAAACATTGTTTCATTCGACAACATTGGGCAGGATGTTTACCCTGTTTACACCCTTTACAATACATTTTCACAACACAGCACAGCCTCTATTTTTCATACCGCCTTACAATCCGTCAGTGCTGATATGCACACAGGACAGGGTGTGCTGTTCAAATTATGGCATTAAAATACCAGCAGACCTATTTGGCACATAAATGTTGTGCTTAATACTAAGACTATAGAAGTCGAAATATCAAACCCCGAGAGAGCTCACCTGACGTAGTCGCTGCTCTTCTTGTTAACACTGTAGTTGGTCAGATGCATGAACTGGTTCTTGATGTTTGCCATGGCGTGGTCATACTTCACTGTGGCAAACCTACAACACACACAAGCAAGAAGGAAAACTGAGCTTAATAGAGAGTATGACATTCAACTGACCTGCTGAAAAGAATAAATAGGTACAGTACCAAAGCAAGCAGCCTTGTGTTAACACGGGACGACCTTAAACTTCAGCCACAAATCTATCTAATATTAATGTGACATATAAATAGAGAGGTTTTGCAACAGCCATCCAACTACAACTAGCAAATCACACAACTACAACACCAGTGCTGTGATGGGATGACGTATTTTTGAAGGCCAAAACCCGGAAACAAACATTTGTGACCCTGGAGCACAAAACCAGTCATAAGGGTCAATTTTTCGAAATTAAGATTTATACATCATCTGAAAGCTGAATAAATAAGCTTTCCATTGATGTATGGTTTGTTAGGATAGGAATTAAGTTCTTAGCAATGCATATTACTAATAAAAAATTAAGTTTTAATATATTTACAGTAGAAAATTTACAAAATATCTTCATGAAACATGATCTTTACTTAATATCCTAATGATTTTTGGCATAAAAGAAAAATCAATAATTTTGACCCATACAATGTATTGTTGGCTATTGCTACAAATATACCCCAGCGACTTAAGACTGCTTTTGTGCTCCAGGGTCACATTTTAGCAGTTTTATCGTCCTGAAGTCAGTGGTTTTTTTTGGTTAAATGCCTGAAATAGAAACAAGCTCAAGTTGTTTTTACGTTTTATTCTACAACATAAAATACATTAGTAATACCCCCCTTGTGATTTTTTTAAGGAGTAGTCTAGTAAAACCAAAAGCTGTGTGTTTGTAAGAAACAAATCCATTATTAAGATGTTTTTAAATTCAAACCGTCGCTTACGGCTAAAATCCGAGTCCATAATCCATAATAACTAGTGCTGTCAATCGATTAAAAAAATGTCTGAAATTAATCGCGATTAATCCCACCTAACATTAAAGTTTTTAAATATACTTTTATATTGCAATAATTTCACATTCAATCTTCAAATTAATGTACAAACACCATAAAAAAAAAAGTAAATATTTGTTTAATGGCATCTTTTTTATGACTGAAGGCCCCCCCAATATTTAACCATGGACTATAGCCATTCAACATTACAGTATAATTGAGAGCTATCAATTTTAACATTTCTTAGACCTTAAAAAATAACTTCTAATTTAAGTGAACTTAAAACAATCTTCACATAAACCCATTATAATAAATGTCATATTTACCTGTGATAAGAAATATATAGAAATTGAAATGATCAAACACTAATAGACTAATAGACATCACAGCAGCTGGTTATTAGGTTATTTTGGCTGCTATTACTTTAAGAGCTGCCGCTGCTGAACGTGACGTGGATCTGACACGCATCATATTTTCTCTCAAATCTTTTTACCTTTTCTGACCCACTTCAGGTCTTAAAGTCTCTATTAATGAGCTGACGAGTTGAATCGGGTGTGTTAGATGAGACAGTGCTGGGCTGCTCCAGGACAGTTTTGAAAACCATTTCAGAGACATGACATGTTCTTAAATGTGACTCATATAAAATATATTACATGCATGCACAGTTTTAAGGCAGCTTTAATTGTCATTTTGGTAACTTCATGACTTAACTGACCACGACACTGCATGCACGTAGTTTATTCCGCGCTTTGATATGAAAGGATACAGGCTACAGCGCACGATAAAAAATTGATCGCCTGCGTTAACGCGCTAATTTTGACACCACTAATAATAACGCTTCCTCTAGTGAAAAAGTGCATCTCCTGTTGTCTCTCACATTAAAATCCAGCCACGTATTTGTTTAGAGCTGTTTTGGACTGTTTAAACGGTGCTTGATCTGTGCAGATTTCTCTCCTGATTCAGACCAGACCACTTTTTCACTGGAGGAAGTGTTATTATGGATTATGGACTTGTATTTTAGCCGGGAGCAACAGTTTGAAGTTAAAAACGCCTCGATGATGGATTTGTTTCTTACAAACACACAGCTTTTGTCTTCTCCAGATGTTAACTGATGGACTGGAGTGGTGTGGATTATTGTGATGTTTTATCAGCTGTTTGGACTCTCATTCTGACGGCACCCATTCACTGCAGAGCATCCATTGCTGAGACACTGATGCAATGCTACATTTCTCCAAATCTGATGAAGAAACAAACTGAACACTGAACAGATAAACTCATCTATCACTAGTCACTTTCACAGCCTTGTTGTGTTTATAGTCACGCTCTTGGAAACTATTCTAACTCAAACTTTCAGGGAAAATGTTTTGAAAGACTGAAAGAGTTGTTGGAGGCTTAATGGTGGTGATGATGAAGTCATGTGACCGTGGTGTAGTTGTTTATAGCCTGTGTTTAGCTCTTTACTTCTGGCGATTTAGGCTTCACACTTGTGTCTATTTAGGATGAACCAGACTTTTAAGAATCATACTTTTGCTGGTCATTTTCTGCAATAATCCACAAGCCAATATTGGGTTTTTGTCAAGGGAATCAGGGTGATGCTAACTTACAGGATGGCCTACAGAATACATCATCACTGCAGCGCTCTATACTGATGAAGTCATGAAGTCTAATATGTTTGTTCTCCTCACAAACTGCACATTATGGTACGCTGACAATACTGCATAATCACAAACAGAGTTATATAACTGTAATCTGAGTGATTTGTCCCAAAGCTCACAGTATTCCCAGAATGCACCACCGCTGGGTTTGAGAGGAGTGGACGCCACATGTGGAGGAAGAGTTTCCTGGCACACAGAAAGCACCTGAATGCCTTCAAAGCTTCTGGGATCTCCAAGATAAAAGTTGAGTTGGGAAAAGTGCCAGGATGTACGGCCAGCAGTTCATAAGAGAGTGTGTCACTCTGTAAAGGCGGCGTCAGCGCCAAGCCTAATAGAGGTAGGCCAAGCGTTTTACACACACCAGACCACAGCGGCCCACAATACACCGGATTTGTTTGAGCTTCTCACTCACATGTCTGAGAAAGCGTTCTCCTCGCTGTGCCAAAAGCAGGACACCGTGTGTATATCTAGATTGAATTCACAGGCACTCAACGCAGGGTTACGGCTGTCGGAGCGATTGTGAGCAGTCAGAAATCTTTCCCACTACTATTCGTGGCTTATGTAAAAATATCATAAAAAGGAGGCTCTTCAGATAGAAGACATTTAAAAATTATGTAAGCCTGAGAACATACTCACTTAAAATGTTTTTAAACTATCACAGTTCCTTGGTGCTTTAAATATGTAAAAAAAAAAAAAAAAAAATATTCACTGAACACCTTGACTGACAGCCATAGTGACCATTTGCATTCACTGTATGGAACAGACCAGCTGTGGCATTCTGTTATAAACAATCCTTTTTGCATTGTAAAAAAAATCAATGAAATACGTAAATGTAGGTATTAGTGCATTGTAAAAAAAAAAAAAAAAAAACACTACTTAAAAAAAAAAAAAGAAAGAAAACTTTTGTCAGTGTCCTTCCAGCAATGAGACAATGGAAAGCTTTGTTTGAGGCCTAGATGAGCCAGTCCAACTTTACTGGAAACATTTCTGCTGCCATCTAGTGCCTGTGTTATTTCAGCATCTTAAAGAAATATTTCTGGTTAAGTAGAGGTTGCAGATGCTGATATTTATATGATGGAATTCTGATGCTTGTGATGTAAATCAATGAGATCTTTATAACAGCAGAGCAGATACTGACATAAAATGATCTGAATATCAGTGGTCGCTCTATATCTCCAGTAATCTGTCTCAGTAAAATTAGATTAAAATGATCCAAACATATAATGCAGTGATTGAGAGCTGAAGAAATAAAGGCTCCTCAAAAGCCTAATGATCATATTTAATAAAATTGAACATGATTTTTCTTAAAAAAAAAACGAATAAAATGTCTGGATAATACATATTAGAATGACAGACGTTCACATGACGGCTTTCATTCCTTCTCTTTGTTCAAGCATGCATCATGTCTTAGATGTGCGACGGTTACTGTTAGATGGCGGGGGTTAATGAATGATGTAAATTAATTACCTGACCAGGCCCTCCTCATAGAGCTAGATCAGGAGAGGGTCGTATGAGGTCACCAGCACATACAGACGCACGTCAAACTTAAAACCTGCAGATATGCAAAAGAAAACTCCATTTAAAATTATGCAGACTGCAGGGATTAAAGTGTTCCGTCGCTACGACGGATTTCTGTCAGTTCATAAAGAAAGTCACTTGCTTCATTCCTGAATGATTCAGCCGTTCGAACGAATCAATTGAATGAATGACTCAGTGATAAAATCAGTGACTTGCCGCCACCTGCTGGCGGATTTAGTTTCATTTTTAGCGTATAATTTCAGTTATTTAAATCATTTAATATTTTTGTATTCCTTTTTACCTTTGTAATGGCATCATTTTCATCTATATAAAATTTAAAAATGTATGTTTATAAGCTTTGTAAAATTTATATTTAAAACAATATAAGTAGAATAAGACAAATAAGTTACCAATCATATGAAATTAGTATTAATAAATTAATTTGTACTACAGAGGTGGCACAGAAGTACACAAAAGTGGCTTGTAGGTACATTTTCAGACATTTAATGAGGCTCAGAGGTAGCATGAGTGCAATTAAATTCATAAATTCATGTGGAGATTAATGTTTTAAATATAATCTGCTATGTACACAAATCAGCACATGATGCAGTTTACACTGGAAACATCTTTTTGCTGCTTGTTCAACTTAAATTAAACTAAAGCAACACAATTGCTGAACCTTTTTTCACAACCTAATTTCACTGTGTTCAATCCACTTGGATATGTAATCTGAAGTTTATGTAATTCATTTGTGTTGGGACTACATAAATCATTTTTGTTGCATGGATTTGTAGCTCCCTACATGATTCACATAAAACTGAACCAGGAGAGTAAATGTTGAAATTAAGTGTTTTTATGCACTTCTGAGACAAATATTTGTTAGTGTTTAATGTGCAGTTATGTTGGATATTTAGTTTTTGTGGTTATCATTGTGTAGCAGAGCTTGTGGTTAAGATGGTTATATGATTACTGTGGTGTTTGTTGCTTCATTTAATGAACAGAGACATACTAAACATGTATGTCTAAAATTAAGATTAATTAAAAACACCTTAAAAAAAAAAAAAAAAAGAGTAAAATCAAAATGCATTTATTCACTTTGTTAATTTTTACATTACTTAGTAAAGTAACTTCAATGGCTTTTACTTAATTCCATGTGTGAAATTGAGTTGAGTGCCAAAACTTGCAAAAGACAAACTGAGTACATTTTACTTTTTGTCTTTCTAGACAGCTTCTTTTAATTTTTTTCTGAAATGTACTAGCAATTTCTGAGTGAAAATTGTTTCAAAGTAAATCTACAAAAAAATTTTTTTCAATGTAGAGCACCAATGCCAGTGCATCTTAACCTCGATAGACTCACCGGCACAATCAAACAAGACTGAAAACAACCACAAGAAACACTGTGATTTGAAGAGGTCCAATGTCTGGAATTTCATTAGAAATTTGACAAAAGATGAAAAGATCCCATTAAAACTTTTGCAGCTAAAAGAAGAGAAGAAAAATGTTCACATTCATATATTCCATCTGTGCCATTTTAATCATTGTTGGTCTATATACTCATGGCCACAGTCTCAATTTTTTATTTATTTATTTATTTTTTACAATAACTATATGTGACCCTGCAGCACAAAACCAGTCTTAAGTCGCTGGGGTATATTTGTAGCAATAGCCAACAATACATTTTATGAACTGACGGAAATCCATCGTAGCGACGGAACACTTTAATCGCTGAGACTGTGTTGAATCTGCTGGTGTTAGTGTTGTAGACTCACCGTCAGTCAGTAGAGGATTGCCGACCAGAATATTCTCGTCCAGTGGGATCTGACTCGGCTGAAACACCAAACTTGTGTTACGAAGCAGCACCG